GGGGGCCTCTACAGAGACAGGTCTTCAAATCAAGAACCAGGCAAACCCACAGAGAGAGAACCGGGCAAACTGGGAGGAGTGGGGGATGGTCAACTGTTCCCATGTGCTTCAAGAGGATTCTCCACCTCCCACAGCTCCTGGCATGGGGAGTGCAAGATAACAAGAAAAAGAAGGCAGTGAGCAGGACCCACTCTTCCTGCAGCCTCAGCTAGTCCACCTGCAGAAGTCTCTATGCATCTGGAGTTGGGATAGGTTGGGTTCTGGCTGACTTATGGAGAGCCTGCTCCTCCATGAGGCCTGTATCTGCTGCCTATAGCTGCATCAGCATAAGATTTCTTGTTTTATGTATGTATTTTCTGGTTCTGGCTCCTGGTCTGCATTTCTATGCACAAGAAGGCATGAGAAAGGTAGCGCACTGGGCTTCTAGAGACATATGCCTGACAGCATTTAGGAAAATAGCATTATAGCCTACGAGTCCCATCACACATATGTGCACACATGCTCACATGCAGGATCATGGTATGTTGGCAGGGATGTAGTTCATGCCTCTGGAGGAAATTGAAAACACTTGTTACAGAGAAAACCCAGTCGCTGGCATACTGTTCCCATTATGAAAGAGACAGAGCCTGTGATCGGTGCCCCACTGAATCACAGGATGTGTTTTATTTTATCCCTATGTTATCATGGAGGGCCATGGCTGCCAGCTATGTCAATTTCTTATGCACAATTTAGACTACAGGACAGAATAAAACAACCTCAAAAGTACAGTGTGGAAAAAACCTGCCAGTTATAAAGGGGGAGAGAATATCTCCAGGAGCCAAGAAAATCTCTTCAAGAAAAAAAAAGTAACCCATTTTACTTTTTTCCCAAACTGACAAATTTGACTTGTCAGATGTAAGTTCAACTTGTGGACAATCCACTCAAGACTGATAATCACCATAGTAACTTCTGTGTCACATGATCACACAGAAGCCTAGAGACAGGGAAAGCGGCTTTCCAGGCCACTTTTCTTCTGGTAAATTCTGTGATGTCAGCCTAATTAGCAGGAGTGGAATCAGGACCTTGGTTGAAGTAATTGGCAGCCATTCTTAAAAAAGAACAAAGGTATTTTAGCACCTTCTCTTCCTAGTTATGGGGCCTGTGCGTCTCCCTCACCCTTCTTCCTAATTGGCCAGTCTCCAAGTAGTGCCTCTAAGTGTGGCTCTTTGTAGAGTCATGTCTGGAGAAAAACTCAAATTCATCTCCTGAAGCTTTCAAAATATCAGAAACTGGTGGCAGAGGGGGCCAGGAATACATTTCAGAGGTATCCTAATTATTCTTTTTAATAGTATTGTAAATTTCAACTTCTTTCATTTCCAACTGCTTCTCCCTGCAAAATACAGGTATCATGTATTTAAAGCTCTCTGCCCATGACAACATTTTGTTCTTAGACTAGAAAATGCCATTCCCTTCATCTCACGCCAGTTAGAATGGCGATCATTAAAAAATCTGGAGACAACAGATGCTGCAGAGGATGTGGAGAAATAGGAACACTTTTACACTGTTGGTGGGAGTGTAAATTAGTTCAACCATTGTGGAAGACAGTGTGGCAATTCCTCAAGGCCTTAGAAATAGAAATTCCATTTGACCCAGCAATCCCATTACTGGGTATATATCCAAAGGACTATAAATCATTCTACTATAAGGACACATGCACACGAATGTTCATTGCAGCACTGTTTACAATAGCAAAGACCTGGAACCAACCCAAATGCCCATTGATGATAGACTGGACTGAAAAAATGTGGCACATATACACCATGGAATATTATGCAGCAATTAAAAATGATGAGTTTGTGTCCTTTGTAGGGACATGGATGAATCTGGACAACATCATTATCAGCAAACTGCCACATGAACAGAAAATGAAATACTACATATTCTCACTCATAGGCGGGTGATGAACAATGAGAACACATGGACACGGGGAAGACGGTACTACACACTGGGGTCTACTGGGGGGAATAGGGGAGGGACAGTGGGGGGGCCGAGATGGGGAGGGATAGCCTGGGGAGAAATGCCAAATGTGGGTGAAGGGGAGGAAGGCAGCAAAACACACTGCCGTGTGTGTACCTATGCAACTATCTTGCACGTTCTGCACATGTACCCCAAAACCTAAAATGCAATAAAAATAAAAAAGAAAATGCCATTCCCTTCCCAAGTCACCTCTCTTTCAGTGGGGTTTAATTTTAGATGACTCTTGCCTGCTAAAAACATTGGCAATTCACCTCGGCAAGGAGGTGACAGGGCCACTTGTCCTCATTGGCCCCTACAGTGGGGCTAAGTGGCCACCACCCCAAAGGCTGCCTTTCACGGCAAGAGAGCTGCCTTCTCCACCACCGGGCATTGTCCTGTGGAAATCTGTGCCCAGACAGCTCAGGTGGCAGCCTCTCCAAGCTCCCAGCACTCTGCTTTGTCTGCCCCGGGACAATTGCCCCATTGTCCTCAGGCTAATAAAGTTTCTGGTCAAAACACAATAATTTCAAACATCTCTTGAGCCTCTCTGCCCTCCACCTGGAACAGACGAGTACATCAGTCCCTTTGACATGGCTTCCTCCAAGTGAGCTCTGCAGCGTTAGTGCGTGGGGGTGCATTTTAATCAACCACGTTGGCTATTGCTACCTACCTGGAGTGAGCCCAACCAAGCCTCACCTACTGTGAGCTGTGGAAATGAACAAAAGCTAGGCAAATGAGGGGCAAAGACTATTTATTCAGAGCCTGTGCTATCGAGGGAGTCGGCCACCATTCCTTGTGTTTTGGCAGAGACTCACAGGCAGGTAGAGGAATGGGAAAGCCTCAGAGAGGAAAGGAAGGCTTTGGGTATTCCCTGATTGGAGGGTGTTGGCCTGGGGGAGATGAAGGTGGCTAAAACAAATGGAGCTTCCCATATGATTGGTTAGGGAGCATGTTTGGCTTTCTTGCATTGGTCCGAAGTTGGAAGTGGGGACAAAAACCTAGGGAATCAGGTTGAGCACAGTGGCTTGTGCCTGTTCTTCCAGTACTTTGGAGGCCTAGGTGGGCAGATCACTTGAGGTCAGGAGTTCAAGACCAGCCTGGCTGACATGGTGAAACGCTGTCTCACTAAAAATACAAAAAATTAGCTGGGCATGGTGATGCGCACCTGTAATCCCAGCTACTTGGGACACTGAGGTGGCAGAATCACTTGAACCGTGGTGGCGGAGGTTGCAGTGAGCTGAGATTGTGCCTCTGTACTCCAGCCTGGGGGACAGAGTGAGACTCCATCTTAAAAAACAAAAATGAAAAAAGCCTAGGCAATCAGTCAGTTATTAGTCGAGTCCTAGAATTTGGGGGCTGATTGTTATAGGGGCTGTTGTCTGGCTTCTGGGATGACTGCTACAGATTGTGGGTCAGAGTTTCGTCTTTCTATGTGGTCTTGACATTGTGTATATTCACTCTCTGAGTGTGTACAGGCTCTCTTCTCCCAGAACCTACTTAAAATCAGTAAGAGATCGAACAGACGGGTGTGCAGAGCGAACATCATCATTTGTACAAATAGCCACAGGTGGAAATTCTGCATGCCTTTGAGAGAACTGAGTTTGAGAGGCTCTACTTCAACGGCTTCCTCGGCCCAGCTAAAGCCTCTCTCACTGAAAGCCCATTCATTTTTCTCAGGCATTGCTGGGAATTCAGGACTCTGTGTTGGAGGCCAACACTGGGTACCATGAGTGTAAGCCATGAACTGGGGCAAGTCCTCCTGGAACACACACACCCAGCTTCTTTTTCCTTCCTCTTCTGTCCCTTCCCAGGGAGTCCTCTTTGCACCATCCCACCCACTGGCCAAACTTCAGGGTCTTGTCTTCATACTTACTGCTTTTTTCTATGGGAAAAGTCATTGAGGAGGCAGTCAAGGTTCATTTATTTTTAATGGAGACAATGCCCCCAAACAGGAACTGAGTCGCTAGTTATGAAATATCAGACCCCTCGCAGCAGGTGGTGGTTCTGAAACACCCTGGTCCGGATGGCAGCCGACTCCACCCACACGTCAGGCGGGACACAGCACTTCCAGACACACTCCTTGTTTAGATGAGGAGATTCTGCCCCCAGTAACATTCTAGATCTTTCCAGAGGTCACAGACTGAAGGCTTGGGGGCTACAGTCTGGAATGTGTTTTGCTTGGCACATGTGAATTTTAAGTTGTTTAATGACGTGTCAAGATTTAAAGATCAGGAGCTGACCTTTTATGTTAAAAAGAAAATCTATATTTTCCAACTTGTCTTGGAAAATGGGATGCTCTGGCAACACTTGGCTGTCTTCCCACCTGCAGATGCTCAGCAGAATGGCAGCTGCCCTGCTGAGAAGAAGCCCCTGTTCCCCTCCTTACCACTCTCCCTGACTGGCCTGCAGTTTTCTCCTGTGTCACAGTTATGGACTGACTGCTTGTGTCCTGCCAAATGCATATGTTGAAATCCTAATCCCCAAGGTGATCATATCAGGAGATGAGGCCTTTGGGAGGTGATGAGGTCACAAGGGTGGAGCCCTCATGAATGGGATTAGCGTCCTTATGAAAGAGACCCCAGAGAGCTCTCTTTCCACCATGCAAGAAAATGAGAAGTTGAAGTCTACAACCTGGAACAGGGTCCCTGCCAGAACCCGGCCATGCTGGCACCTGATCTCGGACTTTGAGAGCTGTGAGAGGTAATTTTCACTTGTTTACAAGTCATCCCATCTATGGTGCTCTGCTATGGCAGTCCAAACTGGCTAAGCCAGTCACCCTCTTGGCCAAGTGGGCATCTGATCCAGAATAACTCATTACTATCTGAGGAAAGTCCCATTATCCCTTTTCCCAGAAGTTTTTATTTCTGGTAGCTTCATGGGGGTTCACCAAGCAGTGGATATAGAGCGACTCTCTATCTTTGACTTGACCTCCTGAGGACTTAGATGGATGGGTGTGTTTCTTGGGAGGTCTCTCTTTCCTCTCCCCACCCCTTTTCCCATGAGAAATGCCTTCTCTTGTCTCAGAAACAAGGGAAGGGGCCAGTGTCTGCCAATGTCTGCAGAGCCCAGAGCAAACGTCTGAGAGATTCAGTGTGAGTGTGCTGGTTGCCTGCTACAGATTAGGCTTGGCAGGTGGTGGTAGGTGGTTAAAGTTCCAGTTTCAGAGTCAAGTATAAGTTATTACTGGTCAGGGTCTCAGCTTTCTCATCTGTAAAATGGGAAGATTCCTAGCTCTCACATTTATAAGGCTCCACTGGGCATGTGTAAAATATGGCTATTAGGGAATATTGTTGGCTGTTAACTCTATCCACCAGGACAGGCTGATTATGCTATGGTGAAAAATAAACCCAAAACTCAGTGTCTGCACCCAGCACACATTTATCTCTTGTGCATGCTACATGCCTATCTTGAATTGGCAAGGTTCTATTCTCAGTCACCTTCACTCAGGAGTACTGGATAGAAGAACCCCACCCTCCCCCACCCTGCCACAGTAGTGCGGTCAGTCTCTATGGCAGGGGAAAGGGGATACAGTGTATCAAGCCTTGGGCTTGAAGGTCTATTTCCAGAAGAGACATCATTACTGCAACTCAAAATCATTTGGCCAAAGTGAGTCACAAGCCAAGTCTAACTTCAAGGAGTGTGGCCCCAAGCCTCTGATTCGAAGTGCCACTATCTTAATGTGTTTGAGCTCCTGTAACAAAATACCACAAGCCAGGTGACTTATAAACAACAGAAATTATTTCTCCCAGTTCTAGAGGCTAGAAAGTCTAAGACCAAGGCACTGGCAGATTTGGTGTCTAATGAGGACCCATTTCCTGGTTCATAGAAGGCAACTTCTTGCTGTGTCATTCTCTGGGGCCTCTTTTATAAGGCACTGATCCGATTAATGACAGCTCTGCCTTTATGACCTAAGCACCTTCCAGAGCCCCCACCTCCTAGCGTCCTCACTGGGGGCTCAGTTTCTCCATATGAATTCTCGGGGGGAAACAAGTGTTCAGACCATGGCAGCTCTCTCTTCCCTCACAGCATGGCAGGCTCTCCAACTATAACACCATGCCCCGTGACTCACTTCCAAGGAGACCTTCTGGAAAGGTTTCTCCCAAGAGATAGAAGAATGCGTATTGCCTCAAGTTTTAGTTCCATAGGTTCACCTAACAGTGAGGTAATGGTGACACATTCTCAGTGAAAAGAACCTAAAGCCCAATATGTCCTGTGCTTCAGCTTATAAAGTATGTTCTTCAGACCTGACCCAAGACTACTCTGGGATTTTTAAGTCAGAAGAGAGCCAGAGCCTATTCAGTGTGCTGTTTGACTCTGATCCCAGCAGCCAGTGCCCCATGAACTGGATGAGCAGGACTTCCTTCAACTCAGGGTTCCCGTGAAATTAAAAAGAATTCTCTTAACTTGGCATTATTGAACATTATTCATACTTCTTCCAAGGTCCCACAAGAGTTTACCTCCTCTCATTGCATTGTGAAGACCTCTGTGGGGAACAATGCATGGGTCCTTGGGGTGTAATAGGGGACTACAGGGAAGGGTCACCTCCACCTAACAGCCTGAATCAGTTTACTCCTCAGGAGCAACAGAAAGTGGTCTCTCCAGTGCCATGAAACCCCCAAAAGTGTCAACCAGTATTACAGGCCTGCCTGATTTACAACCCTCAAATGCAACACAGTGTCCTTCTGAGGCAACTCTAAAGAAAGCCAGGAAAGGTTTGCTAAGAAAGTTGCTGTTAAAAACAGAAGAAAAAGACTCTTACCCCATTGCTCTGTGCCTGGTAGCTATAGGGACAGTATTTGATAAAAAATAAAGGGAAAAATAATTTTCAAAATGATTTCAGAAATGCTGTGAAAGATAGCAAAGAACAGAGCCCTCAAAGAACAGGCCCCAGGACAGGATAATCACTCAACAACATACAACACTGTGTAGTGCAGTTGAGTGCTAGCTGTCATTGAGTGCTTGCTGTTGAGTGCTAGCTGTCATTGAGTGTTTGTTGTTGAGTGCTAGCTGTCACTGTGTGCTTGCTGTTGAGTGCTAGTTGTCACTGAATGCTTCCTGTTGAGTGCTAGCTGTCATTGAGTGCTTGCTGTTTAGTGCTAGCTGTCACTGCGTTCTTGCTGTTGAGTGCTAGTTGTCACTGAGTGCTTGTTGAGTTCTAGCTGTCACTGAGTGCTTGCTGTTGAGTGCTAGTTGTCATTGAGTGTGTGTTGAGTTCTAGCTGTTGTTGAGTGCTTGTTGTTGAGTGCTAGCTGTTGCTGAGTGCTTGTTATTGAGTGCTAGCTGTTGCTGAGTGCTTGTTGTTGAGTGCTAGCTGTTGCTGAGTGCTTGTTGTTGAGTGCTAGCTGTTGCTGAGTGCTTGTTGTTGAGTGCTAGCTGTTGCTGAGTGCTTGTTGTTGAGTGCTAGCTGTTGCTGAGTGCTTGTTGTTGAGTGCTAGCTGTTGCTGAGTGCTTGTTGTTGAGTGCTAGCTGTTGCTGAGTGCTTGTTGTTGAGTGCTAGCTGTTGCTGAGTGCTTGTTGTTGAGTGCTAGCTGTTGCTGAGTGCTTGTTGTTGAGTGCTAGCTGTTGCTGAGTGCTTGTTGTTGAGTGCTAGCTGTTGCTGAGTGCTTGTTGTTGAGTGCTAGCTGTTGCTGAGTGCTTGTTGTTGAGTGCTAGCTGTTGCTGAGTGCTTGTTGTTGAGTGCTAGCTGTTGCTGAGTGCTTGTTGTTGAGTGCTAGCTGTTGCTGAGTGCTTGTTGTTGAGTGCTAGCTGTTTCTGAGTGCTTGTTGTTGAGTGCTAGCTGTTGCTGAGTGCTTGTTGTTGAGTGCTAGCTGTTGCTGAGTACTTGTCCTGTCTTGGGCCCTGTTCTTAGCCTTTGATGTACATTTCTCCATTGAACTTCCACAATAGCCCTATTAGGCAGCTTGTATTATTATTTCAGTTTTACAGATAAGGATTGGTTTTATCTTAGAGCGGTTCTGAATCTTACAAAAAGAAAAAAACTATTCCCTGGAACTGAATTGTCTCCAAAATAGCCCTGTCTTGGGCTAAACATGGGATGTGACAAAGCCACCATCAAGCTAGGTCCCCCTGTCCTGACAGCTTCCCACCCCTTCCCTACCCCTCTAGTCCTGCTTTCCAGGGGGTAATGCACCTTCCCACTTCTCCTGGGAGGGGTGGGCATCCTCCCAGTCCCATAATCTGTGCCAGGCCCTCATATGAGGACTTGGCAGGATTCAGCAGAGATGGAGACCTCTGCTCCACTCATCTCTTTACATATAGTAATTTAATGAGGACAGAAACTATGTAGAGCTTGTAATGGCAAAACCAAGCAGTCCAAGCTTCAAGCCGCTAAACCATGCTGCCTCCTATTGTAATACGATTATATTATAACCCAAGTTTGAGAGACCACCCACTGTTTTCTTTATTGGATCCTTCCAATAAAGCATCCATGCTGGTAGCACAATTCTCCGCAGAAATAGAAAATGGCTATTCTAAAATAAATCCGAGGACACACCCAGCCACAAAGTGGGAGGTGTATTATGCAAATGCACCCAAGACCTCTGGGTCTGGTAGTCAGACCCACAGCAACAGCCTATGTTTGCTCAGGGCTAAGAATGCACGACTCAGACACTGAGAGTCTCTGAGCTGCTGCAAACTCATCCTCCCCTCCCTATTAAAGGCCATTCTGATCACCCTGGGTGTTGGGTTTCCCACAAAGAGCAGCTGAGAGCCAAGGTAGGGTGAGGAGCCAAGAGGAGGTAGGGAGAGCCGGAGATGGCAGCTGGCAACAGGACACAGAAAGAAAAGGGACTTCAAAGGCAGATCTAAGAATTCACAGGGCTTTTTGGTGCAGAGTCTGGAGATGATGTGCAGAACTTACACCTTGAAAGGGGGAGGAAAAGAAGGAAGAACAAATCATTAGCCCTTGACCTCAGATGGCTAAAGGAGAGAATGTATTTCGTGTCTACCATATCTTTACATCCTTCAGTGACACATTTGTCCATGTCACTGATCTTTCTGGCAAAAAAGAAAAACAAAAAACAAAAAACATGTGCTGTGTGACTGGTGGGATGAAGGTAAAGGTTGCCCAGGTGAATCCTCAACACATGCTGCCACATTGGCCACCAGGATGTGACCTAAAGGTGCAAGGAGCCAGGCCTTACTGCCCTACATCAAACCATCAAACTCCAGGCCACAGGAGGAAATAGAACTGAGATCTCCGAACCTGGGGCCTGCTCAGGTATGAAGATCGGGTGCATTGAAAATGTCACCCCCATCCCCTCTAATAGCACCTGCAGGAAGAGGGGATCACCATGGTTGCCATCTGTAAACAGGACTCCTTAAAATATTTTCTGTTAATAAATTGCCTTCATGTCAACTAAAAAAAGCGAGAGAGAGAGAGAGAGAGAGAGAATTCACACAAAATGATGCCCAGTCTTGGTCTCCGTCGTGAGGGGTCCAGGAACAATGGGTGGGGGTTCATTTGCATAACACACCACCAGGGAGAGTACTGTCACCTGCCCTCCTGGGTCCTGAAGAAAACCCTTCACTCCAATTCCTTGTGCACTGTTTCTAAAGGCAGGAAAGGTATACACTTCTAGAAGGACAGTCACATAAAACGCTAGAAGAATAATGTGCTTTATTTAAGTGCTAAGAGATACCCTTGATGCTTGTGTTACCTGGAAGTTGGCTTCAGGGAAACACTTCATTGACCTTCTCTCAAGGATAAATGAGCGGCAGGGACAGGGAAGGGAGAAAGGTTATTTTAACATTTTATTCAGTCTCTGAGATTCTTCGGAGATCACCTTAGGAATGTTCTTGACCTGAGTCCTCTTACTAAGTGTAATCACGTAGTCTGCCAGACTGCATCATTAACCCTACTTTGCAGCTGAGTCAACTACAAGAGATGACTTTTCTAGGCTGGTGGAATGGAATTTGCCATGTACCGCATGCAGCCATGTACTGGATCGGTCGATCCAGGTGCAATTTCTTTGATGGTGTTATTGACGGGTGGCAGGGGAGTGGCAAATGCAAGAGGAGATACGGGATGAAGCCCAGTGCAGGGAAGGTTGGGCTGGGGCAGGATCAGGGAGCCAGGGTATGGGGCTGAAACCCTGGTTAATAGTAGCAAAAGAAATGGGCACCACAATCCCAAAGGACTTCCAGAAGCTTCTTCCCTCCCCCACAGCTGGGCGCAGAGCCTTACCTCCCCTCCGCCTTGGTCCTGTCTCCCTGTTTGGCAAGACTCCCATGTCATCTGCTCTTCTTTACCTCTGGTCCCTCTTGGCACTGGAAATACTATGTGAACCCAGCAGTTGCACAGGATTCTAGGAATTGCTCCTTTCCAGCTTCCTGAACTGGTTTTCAAATTCACCTCAGAGGTACCTTTAAAAATCATGCTCCAAGACCGGGCCTGGTGGCTCATGCCTGTAATCACAGCACTCTGGGAGGTTGAGGCAAGAGGACCGCCTGAGCCCAGGAGTTCAAGAGCAACCTGGGCAACATAGTAAGACCTGTCTCTACAAAATAATAAAAGAATTATCTCGGTGTGGTGGTATGCCACTGCACTCCAGCCTAGATGACAGTGAGACACCCTGTTTCAAGAAAACCTCACAAAACCCCACACTCCATACAGTCAGGAGGTCTGCCATCCACAGACTCCAGACCAATGGTTCCAGCAGCCAGGCAGGAGCAGCATGGGCAATGTCAGTAGCCTGCACATCAGGCTAGCTTTTCTGAGGTCACAAAGTCTGCGTGGAAGTGGAGAATCCATAAGGGTCAGACCCTCCACAGGAGGAGGCCTTCCCTCCCCAAGCACTAACCTCCCTGACATGGTGCCCTCCTCTCAGCCCTGGCCTGCACGCTCCTGCTGAGGTAACCTGTCCCCACTCCATGTTAGAAAACCATAAAACCCCCAAGAGACATTTCTACCAAGTGATCTAAAGACTGAGATTCACCTTATAAAATTTATAAAACTTAACATGTAGAAGAGCCCAGTTTTAATGCCTCCAACTTTTATTTTCCAAAGAACAGTTAGTAGACTTGGCCCTGGGGGGACGAGAGCCCGGCTTTCAGACAAGGAGCCTCACCAGCAATTCTGTACGTTTGAGGTGGCAGAGGTTTTCTGTGAACTTGTGGCTTGTGTCATTTCTAAACACGGTAGTGTAAATGGGATTGTCTTTATTTTGCAAATGAGAAAATGGAAGCGCCAGAGGGACAAAAGGACTCTCTCAAGGTGCCATGGTGAGAAGGAGGCAGAAGGAGGACTTCACCTTTGTCTTGATTTCACTGACTGCTGTTCATCGTGCCACAGGTGTCTTCAAAAAGCAGTCGTTCTCCCACTGGAATGTTTATGTGAGAGGGAAATGTGATACTGTAATATAATTTCAGTGGGGCTGGTCATCCCTGCAAGGCTGAAATGACCCTCTCTGTTTTAATGTGAAAGGAAGCATCATCTTCTCTCCCATTCCCACACAGGATGTGTGCAGCATCTTCGAGTCTCTGCCTCGTGATTCTAGATCTGTAGTAAGCTCTCCATGGCAAGAAAGCCTTGCACTTCACTGAGGGAGTGGATCTTCCAGTTACGTGTTTTTCTGAAGCAACTGGAATTCTTTGCTTTTTGTAGCAAGACAGGCTTTTAAAATTTTCTGGGAGAGAAGGAGGATTGGCCAGAAAAGGCATGAAGAGTGGGAGAAGCGTGCATTGTGGACCTGTCTGAGTGTGGGAGTATGTCCCGATAATCAAGAGACTGAGGAGTAGCATCCTCTGTACCCCACAGTGTTCTAAATGGAGGAAACTAACAAGGTAATTGCAGGGGAATAACACACTGTGAATGTTATGTGGGATTTGAAATTGTTATCTCAAGAGTGATCAGGTGGAGAGAGGAAGGGTGAACTCTTTCAGACTAGGTTTAGACTAGGTTTGTTTTCTGCAGTGTATTTCCACTGTTAAAAGGGATTTTGTTCCCTACTTTTTCTGCTGGTGGACATTTCCCTTGGGGGATCCTGGCCAATGAAAGGTCACGCAGAGACCAGTCACTCTCAGGGATGCCAGCAGAGCCAATCAGACACATGCCCTAGATTTCCCCAGAGCAGACTGAGTGAACCATAGGAGGGTCTGTCTGATATTTATCTTGGCAGAATTCTCAAATGAGTTAGCAAATAGTGGCTGGAGATAAAGTGAGACTTTGAGCAACCTCTGGACTGACTCTGATTACCCTCCACGCCCCACCTGGGCAAGGAGGAGAGACTAGAAAGCCAGCAGCAAAGAGTAAACTTTTCCAAGAATCAGGAAGGAAGGAGTTCCTGACACCCTGAAGCAAAAACAACCTCAAAATTCCCCTGATGACAGATCCATGGGAGCTGGGGTCAAGGTAGCCTTGCACTTCACTGAGGGAGGTGTCATCACCAAATGTGCTGGACATTGGCTACCCATGGAAGACAGATAAAAGAAAATAGTGGAGAGCATGCTTATGACATGGGGACAGGAAAGGGAAGGCCTTGAGTAAGACACAAATCACAAAAGCAAATAGAGAAAGAGTGATGTCTACTTTCAATGAAATGTGAAACTTCTGATTCAAAATCAGAAACCTCTAGAAGCTGAGATCAAAGGCAAGCAACGGAGTTGGAGAAGATATTTCTAACATATTTGTGTGTGTGCCTATGTATATGTAAGTGTGTAATGTGCATACATATACACATGAATTCTGATGGTTATCTAGGCTCTATGAAGAACTCCTATCTATTAATAAGAAAAAAGACCAAGATCAACAACCTCGTAGACAAATGGTTGAAGAAGATGACCAGCTAGTCCACAGAAAATAAAATGCAAATGGAGTGGGAGGGCCCAGAAGAAATCTTGCTTTATCTAAATTGTGTTGATTATGAGAGCATATGCTTATATTAATTTTATAAGTAAAAACAGAGAAAAAGTACCTGAAGATTAAACCAAGCAATGTGATGTGTTAGTCACATCACACACAGGAAGGGAGCTCTCAGCCTGTAAAATATGAGCCCATTTGTGTGAAGCTGAGCAGATGTGGAGAAGTCTTAGGACTCCAAGAGAGGAAGACCACAGGGCATGGAGAGCCAAGGGACGGGGCAGAGAGGCTCTGGGAGGGCGCCCAGCCATGTGGCTCAGTGCAGCTGGTGCAGAGCTCAGCTATACCCTGGGGCTGGGCACTCAGCACAGTGTAGTCAGATGAAGGCAGGAGAGTGGGGCAGGGATTCTCCATTTGAGTCATGGTGACAAGCAGGGCCTCAGTCCCTGGGAAGGATGGAATCCAAATTTAATTCACTTCTGAACACTGTTCTATAATCTATGCTTCATTTAGATACTAGTAAGCCTAAAAGAGCTGAAAAATCATTTTATTTCCCCTTCCAACATACAATTTCTAAGACATTTGAATCATTGATGTTGAAGTTTCTTTGAGAATGAGTTGAGTGTCCCATTTTCAGCCTGAAAACAAAGCCTCAGCCACAATCTTCATCTCACCCCCTTTCTCTCTGTTTATTTTCTTTACAAAAAAATTCCCCCATCTCTTTGTTCTTTAACAAAATGTCGCGTGCATCTTCTAAGTTCCAAGAACTGCACTGGCTTCCAGGAGACAGTGGCAACCCTGGCTCTGACCTCATGGCATGACCAAAGGGAAGGTCTCAGCCAGGGATGTGAGGGACATTGGAAAGAGGACACTGGTGAGCAACGGGGTCTTCCTTGGGTTGGGGAGGAGAGTTACTTCCCTAGTAGCCCACAGCTACTGGTAGGGGCCACCCTGGGCAGACAAATGGTCTGAATTTATATTGACAAAAAGCAAGTGCTGACGCCTTCCCAATCACAGTTCCTTCAAAAACTTCAGGGTTTCTTGGGAAGGGAAGTGAACATTAGTTGAGCCTCTGAGATGTGCCAGGACTGTACTAGGAAGCTTCACAGATGCTAGTATTTAGATTGGATATGCCTCCTGGAGTGCTGCGCTGTCTGTTATGGGAAATCAAAACAGCCATTGCACTTCTGTAGTGTTCACAAGGAGCCTCACTTCTGGGCTTGGGCAGGCTGAGGAGTTCCAGGTTGGAGGATCAGATTTGGTGACTGCATAGGAACTGTTGTCCTTTTTTCTCTTTTGAGATATGAAATTTGCTCCATATCTCAGAAGAGTGTGTGCCTCCATCCCACACTTGGAACACGTGCTATTATTCTTTAAAAAAAATCTGTTGAACATATTAAATGCTCTGCTTTCATCACAGGTTATATTGTGCTGGGGCAGCAGGCTTATGGTGCAAGAGCAGTGCACTGTGTGTCCGCTAGGGCCCCCCTGTCATTTCAGTTGGTCTCCTTGACACGCCCCAGCTTGCTGCCCCCCAGGCTGTCTTGGAGAGACACATTTGTGTTTTGTAATACAGCATGCCATGCACTACTATATGGAGATACTTTATAAAGGAGTCCACATGACACAAGGAAACCAGGAGAAAACAATCCTAGAAATCCCCAGAGCTTGGAAGCTGGGACATGCAAGTGAGATATGGCGTGTGCTATCAAGTGGCAATCTCCTTCCAGCAGGAAAGCCACTGTTGTCATTGCTTTAGGCAGGAGCTGGGATTAAGCACATCTACCACCCAGAAAATAATACAAATAAGAACCACGGTCCAAATCCAACACGAGTCTCACCCGTTCTCTAAAATGTGGAAGCGTGTAGATCTTAGCATCTCTGTCCTTTCTCTGGCTTGGAGGAAGTTGGGCTCCTGGGTACTGTCTCATCAATCACGCCCAGTACCTGTGGACAGGTGCCTCCCCTGCTCTCTGGATAATTGGATTTGGATGGATTGGGAACAGAAGGGAGCTTTGATTGATCCTCTTGTCTGTACTTGTGACCTTCAACTCCCTGTGGTGTAGGGTATTGGTTTAGTCTCCCTGTCTTCTCCTGGTGTCCCTCCAGCTCAAATCCTGCTCTTCCCCTACATGCTTGAGTGGCCTGCTCACTTTGGGCTCTCTCTCCTTGACCCCTGGAACACCACCTCTTTGGTTCTTAATAATCCGGAAGCTTCTCACCTGGTGGTAGCTCTGATATTATCCTCTTCGTTCACTGGAAGCTTCCAGATCCTGCCCCCTCAATCCATTTTCTCCCCACAGGCCTTCCTCAGAAACACAACAACATGTATTGCTTATATCATTGTGTACCAAATGACTGGCAAAGAGGATGAGTGAGTGAGGGCCAAGGGGGACGGATCAGAGGAGAAACATTCCAAGAGAGTGGGAACCCAGGGAAGGCTTCTCAGAGGAGCTGGGACACACTGGGGCCTGAAAGAAGTGGACATTTAGATGAGCAAAAAGACTGCAGGAGTGTCCAATCTTTTGGTTTCACTGGGCCACATTGGAAGAAGAGTTGTCTTGAGCCACATGTAAAATACAGTAACAATAGCTGATGCACAACAACAACAACAACATCAGAAAAACGACTGATAATGCTTTAAGAAAGTTTACAAATTTATGTTGGGCCACATTCAAAGCCATCCTAGGCCACATGCAGCCTGCGGGCTGTGGGTTGAACAGGCTTGAGCTAAGCAGGTGTGTTCTGAGCTGGAGAGAAGGCCAGTCCCATGCTTTATCGTTTGTGGTATCACCAACCAATGATACTTTAAACGGTTGGTGGGTACAGGCCCTGGGCAGGGAGATAGTAAGAAAAAGCTTACAAAAGAAAAGGAGGAGGAGGGGAGTTGCAGGTCATAGAGGGCCTTGAAAGTGAGACTGAAGGTTTGGGCCCTCCCCCATGGGCACGCCACTGAGCAGGGACCCTGTCACTGTTAGTTCTGTCTTCCATCTTTGGAAATAATGACATAGTCAACTACTCCTCTACAAAAAGAGTCACACACACACACACACACACACACACACACACACACACGTGGAAGCTTCCAGATCCTGCCCCCAACCCATTCTCTCCCCACAGGGCTTCCTCAGAAACACAACAAACGTATACTGCTTACACCATTGTGTGCCAAATGACTGGCCCAGAGGATGAGTGAGTGAGGGCCAACCTAGGCTAGGGGACGGGTCAGAGAAGAAAATTCAAAGAGTGGGAACTCAAGGAAGGTTTATTGCTTAAAGAAGGGTGATACGTACTTCCTGGTCAGGATCACCCTCTGGCTTTTCTATTGAAGTTTAGTTTCTCAAGCTCACCAACATCCATTTGGGGCATCTTCTCTTGGCATCCACCCTAGTTCCATTACAGCCAAAGCTGGAGGTGTTGGGGAATGTCACATGCTTCAGGGGTGTCTGTGTAGTTTGCTTTTTACCCAGCTGAACTCACAGCTTTAATGTGTGAAGGCGATCTTCCAGTTCAAGAGGACAGAGTTGGTGCCCCTGTCTGTACCAACCTAAGAGAGCTTTCTGTTTCCTGCTTCCTGCTCTGTGGACTCCCCATATGCCCCTGTAGTATTTGCCTAATACTTTGGAACCAACAATAATAACGTATGAAATCTTTATTTCAAACACAGTTTGAATTTCATCCATCTTCATCTTACCCAAAGGGATAGATTCTATAGTCCTCAATCTGGATGGTCAGAGCTGAGAAATCCCCTTACCTCCAAACACGGGCACTTTTATTTTGTAACCACTGTCTGTCTGGTTTTCTGTTTTGAAGTCTCCCTGGGTGATGGTGCCGCCAGATAAAAGTTGTAATGAGAGAAGGAGGGTGGGAGGGAAGGTCCGGTGACAAGGCAAGGCGGAAGGTAATGGAGACCTTCTCCAATCAGAAGTCTAGAAGGCAGGGCACGCAGTAGGTCTGCAGAATGAGTCAGAACCCGCCTATGAATGCTGTCTATTCATGGCTCCAGGCTTTTGTTAAAGTCTGGGCCTACATTTTAAAGAGGGAGTGGGGGAACTGGCCAGACTGGTCTGACAACTAAGGAGTGGTGAACTCTTCCCTGAGGCTAGTGCTCAGGTGGATGAAGTCATCAATATTTTCTGGGCAGTCCTAATCTGTGATTAACTTTTTTCTCTGCTGTGAAATAACAGCCTTCTTTTCAGCCTGCTAACAATAAGAAAACCTGGCTGCCTGTCTGGGGGATATTTTATGCCAGGCTTCAGTAGAGGCATATTTGAGAAGCCATTTGGGACTCCTGTCCCTGGGGAAAGCCCAGCAGAGTATAGGGAGGGGTCTGAGTGGTGGCGGAGTCCTCCCAGCCCTGGTCCTGGTGGTTCCGGTATACTTTGATGTCCTGACTTCAAACTCAGCTTACTCAAAGCAAATGTCCGTTTTCGTTCTTACTCCCTTCTTGTTTAAGGCCTCACCACTGACCAGGAAGACTTGATAGAACCATCTAGTAACTCTTTCAAAAAAAATTGGTTATTTTTTTATTGTACTTTAGGTTCTGGGGTACATGTGTAGATCATGCAGGATTGTTGCATAGGTACATACATGGCAATGTGATTTGCTGCCTGCATTCCCCCCGTCACCTATATCTGGCATTTCTCCATGGGTTATCCCTCCCTGACCTCCCCACCCGCCACTGTCCCTCCCCTAGCCCCCCACCAACAGACCCCAGTATGTGATCCTCCCCTCCCTGTGTCTGTGTATTTTCATTGTTCAACACCCACCTATGAGTGAGAACATGCAGTGTTTGATTTTCTGTTTTTGTGTCAGTTTGCTGAGAATGATGGTTTCCAGATTTATCTATGTCCCTACAAAGGACATGAACTCATCATTTTTTATGGCTGCATAGTATTCCATGGTGTATATGTGCCACATTTTCTTTGTTCATTCTATAATTGGTGGACATTTGGGTTGTTTCCAGGTCTTTGTATTGTAAACAATACCACAATGAACATACTTGTGCATGTGTCTTTACAATAGAATGATTTATAGTCCTTTGGGTATATACCCAGTAATGGCATTGCTGGGTCAAGTGGATCTCAAGTTCTAGGTCCTTGAGGAATCGCCACACTATCTTCCACAACGGTTGAACTAACTTACACTCCCACTAACAGTGTAGAAGTGTTTCTATTTTTCCACATCCTCTCCAGCATCTGTTGTCACCAGCTTTTTTAATGATCACCATTCTAATTGGCATGAAATGGTATCTCAGTGTAATTTTGATTTGCATCTCTAATGACCGGTGATGATGAGAATTTTTTGATGTTTGTTGGCCTCGTAAATGTCTTCCTTTGAAAAGTGTCTGTTCATATCCTTCATCCACTTTTGAATGGGTTTGTTTGTTTTTTTTTTCTTGTAAATCTGCTTTAGTTCTTTGTAGATTCTGGATATTAGCCCTTTGTCTGATGGGTAGATTGCAAAAAATTTTTTCCCATTCTGTTGGTTGCTGGTTTACTCTAAATGATTGTTTCTTGTGCTGTGCAAAAACTCTGAAGTTTAATTAAATCTTATGTGTCTATTTTGTGTTTTGTTGCCATTGGTTTGGTATTTAGTCATGAAATCCTTGCCTATGCCTATGTCCTGAATGGTTTTGCCTAGGTTTTCTTCTAAGGTTTTTATGGTGTTAGGTCTTATGTTTAAATCTTTAATCCATTTGGAGTTAATTTTGGTGTAATAAGGTGTAAGAAAGGGGTCCAGTTTCTGTACATGGCTAGCCAGTTTTCCTAACACCATTTATTGAACAGGATTTCCTTTCCCCATTGCCTGTTTTTGTCAGGTTTGTCAAAGATCAGATGATTGTAGATGTGTGGTGTTGCTTCTGAGGCCTCTGTTTTGTTTGATTGGTCTGTATCTCTGTTTTGGTACCAGTACCATGCTGTTTTGATTACTACTGCCTTGTAGTATAGTTTGAAGTCAGGTAGCATGATGCCTCCAGGTTTGTTCTTTTTGCTTAGGATTGTTTTGGCTATGTGGGCTCTCTTTTTGTTCCATATGAAGTTTAAGGTGGTTTTTTCCAGTTACATGGAGAAGGTCATTGGTAGCTTGATGGGGATAGCATTGAATCTATAAATTACTTTGAGCAGTATGGCTATTTTCATGATATTGATTCTTCCTAACCATGAGCATGGAATGTTTTTCCATCTGTTTGTGTCCTCTCTTATTTCCTTGAGCAGTGGTTTGTAGTTCTCCTTGAAGAGGTCCTTTACATCCTTTGCTAGTTGTAATCCTAAATATTTTATTCTCTTTGTAGCAGTTGTGAATGGGACCTCATGATTTTGCTCTCTTTAAGTCTGTTGTTGGTGTATAGGAATGCTTGTGATTTCTGCACATTGATTTTGTATCCTGAGACTGTTGAAGTTGCTTATCATCTTAAGGAGATTTTGAGCTGAGATTATGGGGTCTTCTAAATATGCAATCGTGTCGTCTGCAAATAGAGACAATTTGACTTCCTCTTTTCCTGATTAAATACCGTTTATGTTTTTTTTTCCTTGCCTGATTGCTCTGGCTAGAACTTCCATTAGGAGTGGTGAGAGAGGGCATCCTTGCCTAGTGCTAGACTTCAAAGAAAATGCTTCCAGTTTTTGTCTATTTAGTATGAAATTAGCTGTGGGTTTGTTATAAATAGGTTTTATTATTTTGAGATATGTTCCATCGATACCTAGTTTATTAAGGATTTTTAGCATAAAGGGCTGTTAAATTTTGTCAAAGGCCTTCTCTGCATCTATTGAGATAATCATGTTTTTGTTTTTGTGGTTTGGTTTATATGATGGATTAGATTTATAGATTTGTGTATGTTGAACCAGCCTTGAATCCCCAGGATAAAGCCTACTTGATCATGATGGATAAGTGTTTTGATGTGCTGTTGCAATCAGTTTGCCGATTTTATTGAAGATCTTTGCATCTATGTTCATCATGGATATTGGCCTGACGTTTTCTTTTTTTTTTTTTTTTTTTTTTTTTGCTGAGTCTCTGCCAAGTTTTGGTATCAGAATGATGTTTGGTCTCATAAAATGATTTTGGAAGGATTCCCTCTTTTTGTGTTGTTTGGAATAGTTTCAGAAGGAATAGTACGAGCTCCTCTTTGTATGTCTGGTAGAATTCAGCTGTGAACCCATCTGGACCTGGACTTTTTTTGGTTGGTAGGCTATTAATTGCTGCCTCAACTTCAGCCCTTGTTATTGGCCATTCAGGGTTTCAACTTCTTCCTGGTTTAGGCTTGGGAGGGTGCAAGTGTGCAGGAAGTTTTATCCATTTCTTCCAGGTTTACTGGTTTAGTTGCATAGAGTTGTTTGTAGTAATCTCTGATGGTAGTTTGTATTTCTGTAGAATTGGTGTTGATATCCCCTTGATCATTTTTTATTGCATCTATTTGATTCTTCTGTCTTTTCTTTTTCATTAATCTGGCTAGCAGTCTATTTTGTTGATCTTTTCAAAAAACCAGCTCCTGGATTTATTGATTTTTTGAAGGGTTTTTTGTGTCTCTATCTCCTTCAGTTCTGCTCTGATCTTATTTATTTCTTGTCTTCTGCTAGCTTTTGATTTTTTTTTTTTTTTGATCTTGCTCCTCTAGCTCTTTCAATTCTGATGATAGGTTGTCAATTTTAGATCTTTCCTCACTTCTCATGTGGACATTGTTACTATAAATTTCCCTCTAGACACTGCTTTAAATGTGTTCCAGAGATTCTGATAAGTTGCATCTTCCTTCTTGTTAGTTTCAAAGAACATCTTTATTTCTGCTTTCATTTCATTGTTTGTTTAGTAAACATTCAGAAACCAGTCAATCAGTTTCTGTGAAGTTGTGTGGTTCTGAGTTAGTTTCTTAATCCTGGGCTCTAATTTAATTGCACTGTGGTCTGAGAGACTGTTTGTTATGATTTCTGTTCTTTTGCATTTGCTGAGGAGTGATTTACTTCCAATTATGTGGTCATTTTTAGAGTAGGTGTGATGTGGTGATGAGAAGAATGTATATTTTGGATTTGGGGTGGAGAGTTCTGTAAATGTCTATCAGGTTTGTTTGTTCCAGATCTGAGTTCAAGTCCTGGATATCCTTGTTAATTTTCTGTCTGGTTGATCTGTCTAATATTGACAGTGGAGTGTTAAAGTCTCCTACTATTATTGTGTGGCAGTCTAAATCTCTTTGCAGGTCATTAAGAACTTGCTTTATGTATCTGTGTGCTCCTGTATTGGGTGCATATATATTAAGGATTCTTAGCTCTTCTTGTTGGATTGATCCTCGTACTCTTATGTAATGCCCTTCTTTGTCTCTTTTGATCTTTGTTGGTTTAAAGTCCATTTTATCAGAGACTAGGATTGCAACTCCTGCTTTTCTTTGCTCTCCATTTGCTTGGTAAATCTTCCTCCATCCCTTTATTTTGAGCCTATGTGTGTCCTTGCATGTGAGATGGGTTTCCTAAATACAGCACACCAATGGGTCTTGACTTTCTATCCAATTTGCCAGTCTGGGTCTTCTGATTGGTGCATTTAGCCCATTTATATTTAAGGTTAATATTGTTATGTGTGAATTTGATCCTGCCATTTTGATGCTAGGTGGTTGTTCTGCCCATTAGTTAATGCAGTTTCTTCATTGTGTCAATGGGTCTTTACTATTTGGTACATTTTTGGAGTGGCTCGTACTCGTTCTTCCTTTCCACGTTTAGTGCTTCTTTCAGGAGCTCTTATAAGGCAGCACTGGTGGTAACGAAATCTCTCAGCAATTGCTTGTCCTTAAAGGATTTTATTTCTCCTTTGCTTATGAAACTTAGTTTGTCTGGATATGAAATTCTAGGTTGAAAATTTGTTTCTTTAAAGATGTTGAATGTTGGCCCCCACTTTCATCTGGCTTGTAGGTTTCTGCTGAGAGATCCACTGTGAGTCTAATGAGCTTCCCTTTGTGGGTAATCTGACCTTCCTCTCTGGCTGCCCTTAGCATTTTTTTCTTCATTTCAACCCTGGTGAATCTGATGATTATGTGCCCTGGGGTTGCTCTTCTTGAGGAATATCTTTGTGGTGTTTTCCGAATTTCCTGAATTTGAATGTTGACCCTTCTTGCTAGGTTGGGGAAGTTCTCTGGATAATACCCTGGAGAGTGTTTTCCAGCTTGGATTTATTCTCTCCATCACTTTCAGGTACACCTAAGAAACATAGATTAGGGCTTTTCACATAATCCCATATTTCTTGGAGACTTTGTTCATTTCTTTTCACTCTTTTTTCTCTTATCTTACCTTTTTGTTTTATTTCATTGAGTTGATCTTTAATCTCTGATATCCTTTCTTCTGCTTGGTCAATTCAGCTATTGAAATTTGTATATACCTCGTGAGGTTCTTGTGCTGTGTTTTTCAGCTCCATCAAGTCGTTTATATTCTTTTCTAAGCTATTTATTCTCATTAGCATTTTGCCTAACCTTTTTTCAAGGTTCTTAGTTTCTTTGCATTGGGTTAGAACATGTTCTTTTAGCTCAGAGAAGTTTGTTATTACCCATCTTCTGAAGGCTTTTTCTATCAATTCATCAGACTCATTCTCCATCCAGCTTTGTTCCCTTGCTGGTGAGGAGTTGTGATCCCTTGGAGGAGGAGAGGAGTTCTGGTTTTGGTGTTTTCATCTTTTTGCACTGGTTTCTTCCCATCTTCATGGATTTATCTACATGTGGTCTTTGTAATTGGTAACTTTCAGATGGGGTCTCTGAGTAGACGTCCTTTTTGTTGATGTTGAAGCTATTTCTTTCTGTTTTTTAGTTTTTCTTCCAACAGTCAGGTGCCTCTGCTGCAGGACTGCCGGAGGTTTACGCCAGACCCTGCTTGCCTGGGGATCACCCCCATGGGCTGCAGAACAGTAAGGGTTCCTGCCAGTTTCTTCTTCTGTTTTCTTCATCCCAGAAGGGTACCTGTCAGATGTCAGCCTGAGCTCTCCTTTATGAGGTGTCTCTTTGGATATACAGGGGTTAGGGAGCTGCTTGAGGAGACAGTCTGTCTGTTATAGGAGCTCAAGTGCTATGCTGGGAGCTCCATTGTTCTGAACCTTTAAGTTTGTTGCAGTGGAACTCATAACTGCGTCTTTTCCCAGGAGCCCTGAACTGGGAAGATGGGGCTTTATTTATAAGCTCCTGACATGCTGTTTCCTATTTTCAGAGATGCCCTGCCCAGCAAGGAGATAGTCTAGTCACAGTCTGCCAGCAGACGTGTTGCTGAGCTGCTGCAGGCTCTGCCCAGCTGCTGTGTAACGTTCCTTGTGGTTTTGTTTACAGAGGTACTGTTAGAACTGCCTCAGTGATGGTGGACTGCCTCAATGATGGCAGACTACCTCAGTAATGGTCGACTGCCTTAGTAGTGGTGGACTGCCTCAGTAATGGTGGACACCCTTCCCCTGACCGAGCTGGACCATCCTGGGTCCAGCTGCACTTGCTGCGAAACTCTCAGATTGCTGCTCTTGGTGGGGGTGGTACCCGCCAAACCAGATCACCTGGCTTCCTGTTTCAGCCCCGTCTTTTTCAGTTGAATAGGTGGCCCTGTCTTCCAGGTTTGTGTGAGTTTTTGTGCGAAAACCCGTGGCACCGGCTAAAACAGCCATGCTGGAAACTCATGGTGCTTTTAGGCCTGGGAATCTCCTGGTCTGTGGGGAGTAAAAACTTGTTTGGAAATGCAGTAATCACTCGCCCTCTGTGTTGTTCTCACTGGGAACTGCACTCCAGAGCTGGTCCTATTCAGCCATCTTGGATCTCCCCCATCTAATAATTCTTAAGTCCTACCTCATCCAACCTTATCTCGATTCTTGCAGTGAGCACAGCTGCCCTCACCCCCCCGCCTCAGTGCCCTCACCTTTGCTGGAACCTCTTAATTTCTCAGTCCACATCAGCTCTCAGACTACCAAAGCCAGAGTTATTTTTCTAAAAGACATTTGTTCCCATTTCTCCTCTGACTAAAGTTCCTACTATGGACACTTGCTCTTGGCACTCAAGGACCTGGCAGTCAGGCTGAGAACCTGAGGTTCTCAAACTCAAAAGAGTGGGGAATATAATAGGCGAATTAGGCAAGTGAAGCCCAGGATGCTTTTTGGTCTATATTTTGTTTACTCAGTTTTGATGGAGACATGCATACCAGAAAGTTCACATTCCGCTTAACTCTAGCAGAAGAACAACAGAGCAAGCAGGGTGTGACCATTTTTACCTGGCCTCACTGTTGGGGAGGTAGTGGGGGTAGTGGGGACCAGGGTCAGGACTAGGGCTAGGACAAGGCTAGGATGGTGCCCAGGATACATGTTTTAAGGAAGCACTCACTCTTGAGGCTTTGCAAGTACAGGACTGGCACTGGAAAGTGAGTGCCTCCTTAAAGTTTGCTCCTTGGGCTTGTTTGCCTAACCTAGTCTGGCCTTGGTGAGACAGTGGAGAAATGGAGCATGGACTTATCCAAAGGGATGGCTGCTGATGAGCTTCAAGTCTTTTCAAATATTCTGTGGGTGCTTCCATCATAGCTCTTATCACCCAGCAATGGAGTTGTCTCCACAGGTAACCTCACTAAGTGGGTTTTTCTGGGGCCAGGGAGCTCTGCTCATTCCCCTGTGTGATCCCAGCAATGAGCACGAAACAGATGCCATGTAATCTCAAGCAAAAAAAAAAAAAAAAAGAAAAACGACTTTGGAAATAGAGTTATGGAGGCAAGATGGGTTTTGAGTTAGCCTCACTCTTTTTTCAAGGAATTGTTGTTCAGGGCCAGCAGCTCAGCACCAGGAGCACTGACTGCTTCAAGACAGCAGTCTCCCCTGGGACACCAGGCATAGTCCCCTCCTGATGGCAGGCTCCACTTTTCATGGGGCTCACTCCATTACTCATTAGGTCACAGAGTAACAGAAAAAGACAAGAAAGATGAAAAAAAGTGATCGTTTAAAAACAAAACATGGCCAAGCACGATGGCTCACATCTGTAATCCCAGTACTTTGGGAGGTCAAGGCAGGCGTATCACCTGAGGGCAGGCGTATCACCTGAGGTCAGGAGTTCGAGACCAGCCTGGTCAATATGGTGAAACCCCGTCTCTTAAAAAAACAACAACAAAAATTAGCTGGGTGTGATGGTGGGCATCTATAATCCCAGGTACTCAGGAGGCCGAGGCAAGAGAATCACTTGAACCAGGGAGGTGGTGGTTGTAGTGAGCCCAGATTGTGCCACTGCACTCCAGCCTAAGCAACAGAGCAAAACTTCTCTCAAAAAAACCCAAAAACACATAGTAGCAAAATAATAACAAATAGAAGTATGTTGGTAATGACAGCAGATGGGAACTCACTTACTCCAAGACAGAAAATGATCAGATTAGATTTCTAAGAAGTTCACATATGTCTTGCTTCCAAGATACCATCCAAGATGAAATTATACAGAAAGGCTGAAAATAAAGGAATGGAAAAATATACCCTATTTGAATGCTAGCAATAGCAGACAGTTTATAATGGGAGCGAGACTACATAATAATCAAGGCACCAACTCATTCAGAAGCTGTCATAGGCCTAAATGTTTACACACATGCACCTAACACACACACACCCCTCAAAATATAGTAAGCAAATTGACAGAAGTACAAATATAAAATTTCAACCCATTTAGCTTTATCAAAAGTTGATAAATCAAGCAATTTAAAAAGTACTAGGTTATAAAATATTTGAAAAACAAAAGTAGCAAGCATTATCCAATGGGCGTGTGTGTAAAACTTTGCAGCCAAAGATAAATGGTCATCACAGATCATTTTAAAACAGATGGTAATACATAGATCATTTAACAATTTGACCACATACTAGGTCACAAAGAAGAACTCAACAAATATCTGGAATCATCAAAATAACACAGATCATATTCTATAAACACAACCCAATTAAATTAGAAGTCAATACTGAAATATAGTCTCAAATTCATGTATTTGGGAACCCAAACATTCACTCCCAAATAACTAATAGGCTGAAGAGGAAATGACAACAGAAATTTATTTGACATAGACTGAATAATAAAGTATTATGAATCAAAGATGTGAATTGACTAAAAGGATATCTGGAGGGGCTGAGATGTTGGCTCATCCATGTAATCCCAGCACTTTGGGAGGCAGAGGCAGGCAGATTGCTTGAGCCCAGGACTTTGAGACCAGTCTGGGCAACATGGCAAAACCCTGCTTCTACAAAAAATTAGCTGGGTGTGGTGGTGAGTGCCTGTGATCCCAGCTACTTGGGAGGCTGAGGTGAGAGAATTACTTGATCCCAGGAGATGGAGGTTTCAATGAGCCATTATCATGCCACTGCACTCCAGCTTTGGCAACAAAGTGACAGAATAAGACCTTGCTTCAAAAACAAAAGCAAAACAATATCTAGAGTTAAATTTGTAGCCTGACATGAATTTATTTTAAAATCATGAGAGGTTTATATTAGCTGAGGGCTCAAAACAGGAATTGTAAGGAACTTCCTTAATGTGATAAAAGTTATTTATCAAAAATGTATGGCAAACATTGTAATTAATCATAAAACTTTGGAAGCATGCCCATCAATATCTGTAACAAGACAAGGATGTCCATTGTCAGTATGTCTATTCATCAGTATTCTGGAAGACATACTGAGGGCAATAAAACAAGTAAAAAAAATGGGAGAACAAGAATTCAGAATGAAGTGGGAATGCTTTTATCACAGGAAATATGACAATCTACATAGAAAATTCAAGAGACTTTTCTAATAAAATATTTAAATGAAACTAAAGTCCAATAAATATATACACATGAAATTAGGTACAATTTATATATATTAATTATAACTGATTAGAAAATATAACAGGAGAATGGGTCTCATACTTCAACTAAAGTGATAAGATCTTTCTGCATACATTTAACAAAATATGTGCACATTGCTTTGGTTTTGATTTTTCTTGGTTCATTTGGTTGGTTTTAGAATAAACTTGGAAACACAGCTGAGGGACATGAAAGAAAATATTAGTGAGTGAGTGATTCACCATGTTCTTAAATGGAAAAACTAGTGCTGATTTAAGAAAGATGTCAGTTTTATTTCCTAATTATTCTTTAACTTCAATACAATTCTATCTATCCAAAATCCTGAAGGGGATTTTTGTGTGTGTGTGAAATTTGACAAGCTGATAATCATCAAGACTAATTATACATTTATAATAATATAGTAGACTATCAATACATAGATAGATAGTGAATAGATCCATCGAAAATTAGAGAACTCAGAAACCGACCTATGTATCTGTGAAAATTTCATGTACAACTGAAGAGTCATTACAGATCAGTAAAAGGAAGGGGTGGGCTCGTTCAAGAAGTAACTTAGAACAAATAGGTTATCCATATAAGAGTAACAAAATTAGATCCTTATATCAACACATAGTAAAAACAAATCCTTGGTTGATTACATACCTAAGTGTAAAAAGCAATAACTTCAAATAATTTAGAAGAAGATATAGAACACTATCTTTGTGAACTCAGAGTAAGAAATTATTTTCTTAAACTATATACAGGAGGAGAGAAGATGGCACTGTAGGACCAGCTCAGGATTGCAGCTCCCAGTGAAAGCACAGAGGGTGCATGGACGCTGCATTTCCAGATGGATCTTTATTGCCCACAGACCAAGAGATTCCCAGGTGGAGGAGCCCCACTGGTCACCAGTGTGGCTGTTTCGGCTGGCGCAGCTGTTTCGACCAGTGCAGCTCTTTTGACCAGTGCCGCAGCGCAGTGGCTCTCTGTACAAAATACACTGGTCTGGTTGCCCTGTTAAACTAGCAATTAGAGATCTGGGAAGGCAGATTAGCACATTCATCTGATTAAATGGGACTGAAACATAAAGCCAGGCCAGGAGATTCCCAGGCAGCGACATTGTTTCAGCTGGCGCAGTGGGTCACTGCATGGGAAATCACACAGATCCCGGTGCCCTTTCAGCAGGCGATTGGAACCCCTGGGAGAGAGTCAACCATTCAACTTATAAAAAAAAGGGCTCTGAGGCAGGGAGCCAGGTGATCAGGCT